TCGCGGCGGCGTCGCCTTGCTGCCAAAGGCCCCCGGGGCTGACGTGGCCCCTCCCGCTGCCTCTGGGCCACAAAGGCCCAACGCGGGAGCCGCAGAGGGCCGCTACGTGAGGAGAACGCAGATCCGCCGGCGGAGACGGACTCGGTGCGTTCCCTGCGCTCTTCCAACAACAGACCTATCGTCCTTTGTGGCGTGGCAATGAACTTACTCGCTTGCCTCTTCGTTCTTTGCATTGGAAACTCTTGCTGCAAGAAAAATTAGTTCTCCGGCCGAATGTGTCTTATTACCACTTTACTATTAAGATTTCCGCGTCTCCGAAGATACGTATAATGATATTCTTACATTACTTTTTTGACCAAGAAACCGCTTTGCACTAAGTTCACAGCTGGCGAACTTGCCGCCGTACTTTTGTAAACCTTCACCTATACTTTTCCGCCTCAATTTCCTCCCAATACTCCTACCCTTATCAGTCTCTCGAGGTCTTTTCGGACAACCTGAGTGCCCTGTTCCCAACTGACCTGTGTAACCAAGTGGTTGATCTCCCTACCCATGCTTTTTCTATACAGCTGAGACTGCGCCCCTTGGAAGCTACGGTCGGGCCGCTCGTAAGGACTAACGAATTGTTTTCGAGCTCGTCAACTTACCATATCATTATCCCCGTAAGTGTGGTGCTTGTTAGGTTTTGAATGTTGTGTAAGTTGTGGGACGAGCATCTCGGGAGTGGTAGTGTTCTTCCCCCACTGGATGGTGAAATCTGGCGCCGACCTACAGGTCATTTTGGAGATATCCTCTTCCTGATATATCCACCGATGAGGCACCGCTCCCGCAGGGACAAACCCTAAGCTCTCGACGCGTGTGGTGTGCGAAATAGAGTGAGGGGAGAAGATATGGCAAGAAGGAGGAAGGAATGAAATCGCGCGCGGCCCGTGGCCAGATTGTTCGGGCCCTGTTCTGGCATTCGCATCATATTGATCGGAGCCATCACCGAAAACTACCAATCACAGCAGCCGAATAGAGCTCCGCATAGCGACTGAATGCGACCTAGCCCTGCCCATCTACATGCGGCGTGTGGATACGAGGTCTGAGAGTAGCCGGCCACAGCTACCGCAGAGATGGAGGCGGAGGCTGTGGCGGCGGCGGGGCGGTGCAGCAAACGCGAGTGAAAGTGGCCGCGTCTGTCGCCGCTTTACGTAACGGCGGTCAGCGCTGCGCCTTTCCAGGGAAGCGGATCAGCGGCGCAGATGGCACGCAGCGGCAACGCGGCCACGACAATTGCTCCTATGCCAACAAATATTCAAATCAATACTCATTGAGCCTTGAATATTATTCTATTAGGATTTTATTTTCGTAAACTCACACAATGTGTAGAGTTGATATAAATAGCAGCAAAATATATTTTCTTCTTATCCTGGTTTCTATATTACGTGGCATTTTACAGCCGTAAAAATGGTTCTCTTCCTGACAATATAGTTACTCATCGATATGTGCTAAAATGTAAGTCAATATTTAACTTTGGTTTTAGATTCTCATAACACAAGAACAATCAGACTTACAACAAACCTCTGGCAATGTAATACTCTCCTGGCTGCGGATCATGAATGTTACAATGTCCTGGTTAATACACTAAAAACAGATTTTCTTTACAACATTATCGAGTTTGTAAAGCGTTCTTTAAGATCCAGTGTTCTTTGATCTACATTACCAATTAAAAACAGTACCAAATAATAAAGCCCATTCATAAAATAATTGGCGGTGATAGCTTGACAACATTAGAAGATTTCACATTGTTTCTGCCCGCACGCAACTTAGATGCTCTTCGTAAGGCAGCATCCGTCAGAGCAGCAGTCGAGCAGCGGAGACGGATACCTCGCAACAAAAGACGAGCGGGCCGCGCGGCGCATGGCCACGATGGACTAATTAGCCAGCGGCGTCGGGAACCGTTCTGCGCAGAGCTAATGCGATGCGAGGGCAGGACTGCGAATCCCGTTGTCCTCCCAACATAATGAATACTCACAAAGCCACCGTGATGGCGGGAGATAGTCGCAGGAAGGGAATACAAAATACGTTTACTTCCAAGAATCATATTAGTCCAAAATTACATTCACGACCAAGCGATTAGATGGGTTCTTACGTAATAAGAATTCGAAACGACGGCATTTTTAGGACGAGTTATTATTGTCTTGCCAAAACGAATTTGTAAACGAAAAGACTCGTTCATATTTATTCAAAGAACTGACGCACCCTTCTGTTCTTCCTTCGATTCTCTTTCACCATCTCACAGAGAGCTCGAGCATTCTTGACAGTTCCCCCACCGCAACCACCCACAACCACCGCGACATCGTTGCCTGTGAACCACCGGTGACCGCGAGGTCCAGGTTTCGAGTCTCGACGGCGACACATTGTCAACTCTACCTATATAGCTGAATCAAATTCATCCCCTGGCGATGAAAATTCTAGCAACCAGGTGCTCCGATTGGTCTTCCGAGGTTTATCTCACGTAAACGGAAGGACCGCGCGCGATATTTCCTTCCTCACCCTTGCCCCATACCCCTCTCTTGTACGCATACTATAAGCACTGCACTACCACATTCGTCCCGACTAGGGCTCGTCGGAGAGAGATCTCTCATTCTAGCGAGAGAGGAACACAGCCGTCTTCCGAGCTATGCACGACACGTACGGGAGCAATTGCCGGAGTAGTTCATTCCTCACTCGGTCCTCTTTCGACTCCTCGCGCGGGCGATGGGAAGGGGGGTCTCTTTGCCGACCACCCGCGGAGGTAGGGCTCTGAGGCGGGGG